GGCAAGGGACCGGGCAGCAGGCGACGGCGCCGCGGGACGAGGAGGGGCGTCGGCAGCAGCAGCAGGTCGAAACGGGCGCCGGCTGAGTCCCTCGCCGGCGCCGCTGGTGCACCACGATGCGCGTACACGGCCTCGACCGGATTCCCTCGCCGCTTCATCCTCTTCTCGTTTCGGCAGTCGTCCCCGTCGTCCGCTCGCCACCGCCCATCCACGGGCGCGAGACATGTACACTAGTCTGCAGGTGTCTGCCTGCCCTCTCTGCTCTGCTCTGCTCCGCTCCGCTCCGCTCCGCTGCACCACGACCGCCGGATCGGCACGAACAGATGCGATACCTCCCGAGTGCACGCACGCGCATCGACATGACCTTCCCGCCGCGCCCTACCGTCGCGACTCGGTTGCCCTCGTGCGTTACTTGGTCGACCCTCGGGCCGTCGTCTCCAGGCAACAGCCAACCGAGCGACCCTCTCTCGCTCGCCCGGCCCTCGGTCATCCCCGCGCTCGACGCTATCGAACGAGACGGACGCCAGAAAGCCTACCAAAAAAAGGATGTAAAAAAGGCAAAAAGAATGCAATCTGGAGGAATCGAACATCCGTCTAGTCGGAACCACCATCCCGACGAAGGGACGCAGCAAGAGCCACAACGACTCGTACTAACCACTATACTAAGACTGCCTTTCATGTTGCGGCGTTCCACATTTGAACACATCGCTAAGCGTTACAAAGGGCTCCCCAAAAATCCAAAACGGATTCGCTGGTTGAGCGATCTGAGAACTTCAGTTGGTCCCTTGGGTCCCCCCTGGTGCAGTGAAAGGGTTAGAGTTTAAGCTCTACCGTTGGCAAAACGGGGCTCAAAGTGATTGTCCTATTTTTAGAAAGTTGGCCGGATCGCTCTGGTGTCTCTATGAAAGTTGTAGAGGGGGTGCAGGGAGGCATAATGGCCAGGAGGAAAAAAGTTCCTTTTGGATGGTCGAAGTTGTATGAGGTTGGGAAGTTGCATGAAGTTAAACTTCACCAACCTCACCTGGTGTAGTTCAACAACTTCGACAACTTCGACAACTTCGACAGCCCTTTGTACCTTGGGCCTGCCTGTTGGTGAGGCTTTGTGGGACAACCTGTGACACTGTCACAGGGACAGAGAGGTTGTTGGCCAACCTCATGAGGCTATGGAAGGTTCACCATGCTCAGGGAAGTTCATTGCTGCCTACCTATCTACAGGGTGACCTTGCCTGTGAGGAAGGGTTACAAGGGGGTTCCCTGGGATCCAAAACGGATTCGCTGGTTGAGCGATCTGAGAACTTCAGTTGGTCCCTTGGGTCCCCCCTGATGCAGCAAAAGTGTTAAAGTTTAAGCTCTACCATTGGCAAAACGGGGCTTGAAGTGATCGTGCTATTTTTGGAAAGTTGGCCGGATCAGTCTGGTGTCTTAACAAAAGTTGTAGAGGAGGCCCAGGGAGGCATATTGGCCAGAAGGAAAAAAGTTCCTTTTGGGTGGTCAAAGTTGTATGAGGTTGGGAAGTTGGGCATGAAGTTAAACTTCACCAACCTCACCTGGTGAAGTTTGTGAACTTCGACAACTTCGACAACTTCGACAGCCCTGTGCACCTTGGCCCTGTCTGCCTGTGAGGGTTTGTGGGACACCAGGGGACACTGTCACAGGGACAGAGAGGCTACTGGACAACCTCCTGAGGCTGGGCAAGGTTCACAAGGTTCATTGAAGGTTGGTCTTGCCTGGCTACCTGCAGTGCAACCTTGCCTGTGAGGAAAAACCCCCCCAGGGAGGGTGAAAAAACCTCAGGACAAGGTGTGAGAGGTTCCTATGTACAACATGAGGTTGACGAGGTTGCTGAAGTTGCCAGGTGAAGTTGCTGAACCTCACCAACCTCCTGCCAGCTTCACTGGACCTTAGGGTTAGGGTTAGGGTTAGGGTTAGGGTTAGGGTTAGGGTTAGGGTTAGGGTTAGGGTTAGGGTTAGGGTTAGGGTTAGGGTTAGGGTTAGGGTTAGGGTTAGGGTTAGGGTTAGGGTTAGGGTTAGGGTTAGGGTTAGGGTTAGGGTTAGGGTTAGGGTTAGGGTTAGGGGTTAGGGTTAGGGTTAGGG